CAATGTTGTGAAAAATCAGTTAGAAAGAATTCTAGAACTAAAGCTCATTGATCCCTCATATTTGGATGATCAAGTTGAGAATTTCCCTTGGACACAAGAGCTTAAAGCTGGAAGAATTCCTTGATCACTTGCATAATGTAAAGGAGTACATGTTGGACAGTGGAAAGCTGAAGGACTTCAGAAGTTTTCCTTTCCTATGGCCGACTGTATATTTATGGGCAAGCTGGCTGACAGGCATGAATTGGAAATTGCATCACTTGTTTCAAYGCTTACGGAACTCCATTTTTGTAGTGGCAGAAAGTCGTGGAATGATGACATGATTGAACTGCACAGAAAGTTGGCATGGCGGCTCAACATTCAGATTGAAGAAATTAAGGGATTACAAATGTGCACAATATCAGTGCATAATTTGACTCACATACATGAAGACATCATCAACTTTTCATCTCCTGACAACTACTGGTGTGCAGTATATGAGAGGGCTGTAAAACAATATGTCAAAAAGTCACATAACTGCAAAGGGATTGAAGCAACATTTGCTCAGTCAGAGTCCAGACGGGAATTTTTAAAGGCACTGCAAGCTGCTGATCAGAGGAAGGATGGAAAAGTTGACTTAGTTATGGTGAATGTGTAGTGCTTTTATTTATACGATCCTTCAATAAAGGGGGGTGGGGGGGATTAGGGGGATTCTTTTAAAACTGCATTGTTTGAAATGCATTTCAAATGTGTTTTACTTTGTTTGAAATGCATTTCAAATTGGTTTCAAATGTTATAATTATGATATTCCATAACATATGGTATTCCATAACTTATCACAGTACATATTGTGCGAAAGTACAAAACGTACAGTCAAACTGGAAAACCATATTGTTAAGCCTTGTGGTTTTATATTGTATATGATTGCTTGTGACACAATAAGCATTCCAGGATGATTTGAGGCTTTCTGGTTTTCCAGATTAGCTTACTATACCATTGGAAAACCGAATCAGCATTGACAGAAGACATTTGTTATGGAGGATATATGAAATTTTGCACATTCCACTTGTTTATTTCATGTTCT